TGCCTGCCTGCCTGCCTGCCTGCCTGCCTGCCTGCCTGCCTGCCTGCCTGCCTGCCTGCCTGCCTGCCTGCCTGCCTGCCTGTGCCTCATTTGTATGCCCTACTTCTCATTCTTGACTTCTGAATAGGATCTGACACTTTAATTGATGTTTTATGTCTTGCAAACACGGATATGGAGAATATGGATTACACTGGAGATGGCATTGATTGTTTGAAGTGTCTCTGAAAAATCGGATGACAACTGTGGTTCGTGTGTGTGTGTGTGTGTGTGTGTGTGTGTGTGTGTGTGTGTGTGTGTGTGTGTGTGTGTGTGTGATTCAGCTCACAGCCCAGCTTTGGCTTTCCCCTTGGCGAGCAACATTTAGAATGACTTAAGCCTTCACTGCAGATAATTAGCATTTTCAGTGACTATCACTGCAGATCAGAGCAGCCGGCGGTGAGCTGCAGAATCAAACGCGTCTTGCTCGCTAATGACCTTGAAACCCAGCAGAAAATATCACAAACACACTCTCCTATTGATGTGCAAGAGTAGAACAGCACCCCGTGTTGTCTGTTTCTCCCATGGGGCCTTAAGAGACAACTGTTTTAATGCAAAGGGGATACTACCGAAAAACATAAGGCTAAATGTGAATTTATCAGCATTTAACTATTTTTATATATATATATTGTTATTTTACACATCAAATGTAATACCACAAGAAATTGAACATGGAAGTTTTCCACAGGATAAAAATGTAATATATGTTTCACATGTAAAATACTAACATCCAACCATTAATTGAATTGTATTTATGTATTTTATCCATTTATATTAGTCATTTACTTTTATTTATAACTTTTATTTTTTTTAGTATGTTATAATGCAGATCATTTATAATTATATTGTATAATTAAGGTTTAATGCTTATAGGCTTATATGCTTTGCATTAATACAAAGGTGTTATCTATTGTCAAATATTCTACTGCAATTTTTAAATAACTACAATAATCCTTCTTCTTATATTAAGTATTTAATCATAATAATTAAAAATATTTTAAAAAGATAGGAATAAAAATGTACTTTAAACTCCAACATAAAAATGTGTTTCCTCTCTCATTCCTGCGCAGTGACTCCAGCTGTTAGCTGTCCCACCTGAGCGTCTGCTCCCCAGTTCTGTCCCCTGGTCCGTCCCCTATAGCAGTCCCTAGCATGAGTTCCTCTCCGCTGGTGTCTCGAGCCAACATGGACATCCTGGACGAGCTGCAGCTGATCGCAGCCCAGAACCTGGAGAGGCTGGAAGTCAACAAATACTACGAGGTGATCCGGGAGCTGGGCAAGGGCACGTACGGCAAGGTGGACCTGGTCATCCACAAGATCAGAGGTGAGGGGGCACGAATGCACACGTACAAAATCCTGCTGCTCTAAATAGGCAAAACGTTTATATGCCTATTTTTCTCATATTTCGCCCAATAAGGTACAAAAATGGCTCTGAAGTTCCTGAAGAAGAAGACTACCAAGCTGAAGTCGTTCCTGCGGGAGTACAGCATCTCTCTGTACCTGTCCCCCTGCCCCTTCATCATCAACATGTTCGGCATCGCCTTCGAGACGGACGACTACTACGTGTTCGCCCAGGAGTACGCGCTGGCAGGGGACCTCTTCGATATCATTCCCCCACAGGTGCTCCATCTTCATTCTGGTTACTCTGCGTAACACTGCTTCTGGGTCAAGGACTTAAGCAAAAAAATATCCATCTTGACAAGTTCTTAAATTAGTACTTTGCATCCGAAGTTAACATTTGTAGGTCACTTACTCACCCCATTTTGTCTTAAATTCTCAAAGAAAACCGTTCTCAAATGCCTCCAAGATAAACAATGAATAAAAAAAACTGAGAAGAGAAGTCAATTTTGAGCATAAGACTGGATTAATAAAACTTGTATCATACGGAAGGATTTATGTAATAGTTTGTAAACAGATGTTTACTGCTGTTAAATATGGACCCCATTGACTTCAGTTCATCTAGACTTTTCTCTCATTTCGATTTTTGATTGACCATGGAGGTATATGACAAGTTTTTCAAGAATTCAACGTAACAGTGGGTTTAATAATTGATATCCAAAGTATATTTTTGTGGGTGAAGTATTATTTTAAGACGACAGATTTGTTTTTAGTCCACGTTTTATTGTTGCATACCATATGTATTGTGTGTAGCACTCTAATCTCCCTCTTTCCATTTCTTCAGATTGGTCTTCCCGAGGCAGTGGCAAAGCGCTGTGTGCACCAAGTAGCCATCGCTCTGGACTACCTGCACTGTAAGAAGCTGGTCCACAGGGACATCAAGCCTGAAAACATCCTCATTTTTGACCGAGAGTGCCGCAAGGTCAAGCTGTCAGATTTCGGCATGACCCGCCGAGCTGGCTCACCTGTGAAACGAGTGAGTAATGTTTCTGTGTCTGATCTTACATTCCAATGCAATTCATTTAGCTGAAGCTCTTATCGGAAGTACATTAGCTTTCATCAAGTTCAACTGCATTGACTTCAAATAGGCCAAACAATTCATCGCTACGTACAGAAGTGAAATTAAATATATATATTATTGTCCAAGGTGCAGTCGGAACAGGTTAGGGTTTTCAGTCTGTGGCAGAAGATGTGTAACCTTTCTGCTGTCGTGACTTCAAGGAAGCTTGTTTCCCCATTTTGGATCCAGGATTGTGAAAAGGTGTGTTTTTTTTTAGGGTACGTGGGTCCAACTCACATTAAGGGGGTAACAAGCCGATTGGTTTATGCAGAGCGAAGTGCATATGCTGGAGTGCATGGTGTAATCGTGTTGTGGATGTAGGAAGGGCCTGATGTTTTGCAGCACAGTACTAGTGTCTTAAACCACTCAAAGTCCTTTATCCAGCATGGTGTTGACCTGTCTCCCCTGCAGGTGAGTGGCACCATCCCCTACACGGCCCCGGAGCTCTGCGACGTGTCCCGCCACGAGGGCTTCTGCGTGGACTACAGCACGGACGTCTGGGCCTTCGGGGTGCTGCTCTTCTGCATGCTGACCGGAAACTTCCCATGGGAGAAGGCGCTGCCCTCCGACTCCTTCTACCAGGAGTTCATCCGCTGGCAGAGGAGGAGGACCAACACGGTCCCCTCCCAGTGGAGGCGCTTCACGGAGCAGGCCCTGCGCATGTTCCGCCGCCTGCTCTCCGTGGAACAGGACCGCCGCTGCTCCGTCAAAGAGGTGTTCGGGTACTTCAGCCACTCCTGGATGCTGGACGCGGAGAACAACAACAACGGGAACAGCAACAGCAACGGAAACAGCAACAGCAACGGCAACAGCAACACCAACTCCAACAGCAACAGCGCAAGTGGTGGAGAGAGGGTTGGCGCTGGTGGCGGGGAGAGAGGAGGTGCGCGGGGAGAGGGGAATGCCACCATCTCCTCATCTTCTTCCGGGGAGGAAGACGAGGAGCTGCTTGTGGAGAGGATGAAGCAGCAGACTTTATCTCCTCTCTCCCCGCTCTCTCCTCTCTCTCCCACGTCTCCGGTGGCGGCGGAGAGGGGGAACGGCGGCGGGGCCAAGGGCGGGGGGATGGAGCCAGGCGGAGGCCACCATTTTGTGTCCGTCTCCACCAACAGCTCCGTATCGTCCACCAACAGTTACGACCGAATGCCGCGGGAAAACAGTTCCCCGGGAGGGCGCATGCTGGTGGCCACGCCCATAGAAATCTGCGTCTGAGTGCGTCAGAACATTGATGTTGTCACTGAGTCACTGGTGCCAATTTATACCTCTCATCCAACCACATGCATGGAAACAAACAGACAATGTACTAACACGTATCCTGATCTAAACATCTTGGGAAAGGCAGAGCACATACAGAAGACTTTACAGAGAGTATTTGTAGAATGCATACATTCCTCATGAGGTAGGCTTTTTGGACTCCAAAAGAAGCCCACTTTACTCTTTAATGTCAGTGTGCAAATGCATTTTTTTTAAGCCCAGAGGAAAATGAAAAATTGCTCCCTTCAGCATCCGAAAAGAAGACCAAAATGTATTTCTAAAAGCAATACTTCCAGCAAAAAAAAGGCAAATAGAGACCATGTGGCAGACTGCTGTAGGATCGCTTCTGAACGAAGCCAAGGTACGAAGGATTTGTATTTTTGAAGAAGACTATAACAGAGTTCTAGGAAATACATGTAAGATAAAAAAGGAGCGAGCAGTGGTTTTAAATGTTTTATGTGTCGGAAAAGTGTGAGTGAATTTGTTGTGTGTATTATTGTGGATTTATTTTACATTGAGAATTTAATTATTTATTTGAATTTAAATAGACTACTTTTTTCTATTGTTTGGTTATTTTTTTATTGTTCAACTTCACGTTGTATTCTGGCATAGCTGTGCCAAATCCATTTGGTTGGCTGCTGTTCACATTGGAATAATACGACTGTATACGTTTTGACTATTGTAATTCAGTACGTCCACTAGCGGAAGCCTCTGATGTCTTTGTTCTTCAAGTCAAACATTTCTTCTTCATTGTTGAAAGACTTTTTTTCTACTCCCTCCCAAAACTATATTTGTAAAGCTTCCGTTTCCTTTGATTTTTTTTATTCAGTTTGTATTGTTTGTATTTTCTTTGAAACTTTAAGCAAAATTAATTGCCTGAAAAAGGAAAGAGTTAGGATGACTTAGCATTTTCAATTCAATCTGAAGGAGGAGGAAAAAAAATTACCTTTTTATAAATTGCATGACGAGTAGCTCAAACGTACCTTTATGAAGAATTTGAAGCGGCTTTATGAAAATGTACTTGAAAGATTTACAAAAAGAAACGTAAAATGTTGTGATGTGGATTTTTTGCCGTAGCACAATTTCTTGCATAATGTTCCTCGGGTGAATATTGCCGTCATGATCTCTTGAGACATCCTAGGGCTAAAAAATCTGAACAATAATAGTTTGGATTCTGTGTGTTGTATTTGTATTGCTATAAATGCCGTGTACTCATCTCACCAAATCAAGGAACCGAAGAAAAAAAAAAAGCATGAGGACATAGAATTTAAACATAGATCTAAATTGCCACCTTTAGTCAGGTAGTGCAGCGTTGGTTTTCTACCAAGTTCAAATCAACTGAAAAAAAGCAATCCATTCCTTTCATTGACAAAAAAAATGAAGAAAAATAACATTGGATTATGCATAGGAATGGGTGTTTTGTGTGTTGCTTTCCAGACATATATTCTGCATGAACTTGTATGTGCTAAAGCTCTATTGTGAAAACCTGCTCAGTGTTTCTCCTGTCACAAGCTGGTGTAGTATAGCTGCAACAACAACAACATGTTTATTTATCTGGTGAGTCAGTAGCCTCAGCTTGGATCTGCCTGAACGAGGATCAGCTAAACTCAGCTTAACGAAATCGTTTGGATCATGTTCGTCGAAGCTGATCAGATAGCATGATGCAGATGACTACATCTTGTGACAATCTCTGACCTCATCGGCAGCCTTCTGACTCCGAACAAAGGACAGTCCTGATACAGAATCTGTAGCCGTGCTGTTCTTTAGTTCTCCATCAGCCAGCTGCAAGCTGAACGAGCTCTTCAGCATTTACTGTGTGGGCTCCAGCACATCACATGACTGTTTGAAGAAGAGATTACATGGGCCTGTACATGACCTCACATGTCATTATTGCCCCCCTAAAACACCCTTGAACTGCTCCTTAGCACTTCCCAGATGTGTTTACACTGAATCATTCGTCCTAGCAAACTATTTCATTTTCCCAAAAAGTAAAGTGAGAAATCCTGTAAAAATGGCAGTGTCTGGGTTAAGGGTTGGCCGGAGATGGCCTCTAGGTCTGTCACAGGCGCTAATCAGAATATGTGTTTTTTTAAATGATATGAAACATACCCTACATGCTGTAGTTTTATCATAAAAATGCTGAGCCTCCATTGCCCTATTTAAAGTCAAGCTAACATTTGACTGCTAGCATTTGACTCTGTTGTAATGCTAAATGTTGGCATTTGTATGCTAACGTTGTTTGTATTTTAAAATGTAGTATAAAAGGCAGTATACTGGTGTCAAATCCAAGAGCCTTCCACATATTACTATGCAAATGAGCTTGTGTACAGCTCTTTGTTTCCTTCATTTTACGTTAGCAAACAACTGTGAAGTTCACTGAGGGAAACGGGGCAGGCGAAATATCAGAGTGACTGTATTTAGCTTCTGTGCTAATTCAGAGAATTTTCAATTCAGGCAAATTATTCCAAATTGAATATACATTTGTTTTTGTGTTCAAATGGCATTTCAAATTTGTAATTAAAAGTGACAGACCCAGGGACCAACATGAAGACTAAAGCCTAGCCACCCCATAGGCCATCACTCTTTGTTTTTGTCTTCAGGACCTTTAAAGCTAATAGCTAGCTTACGTTAGCTTACATTCTCCTTTGTTGTGCAAGATTAAAAGTGCTCTGTGGAGTTTTTGTGATAAGTGTGTTCTGAAATTGAATTTACAATGTTTAGGCCCACAAGACTGCTCATTTTAGTCAAATTTTGGTCATCTTCAAACATCTGAAAAGCCTATTAAATATCATCTCTAATGGTGTACTGTAAGTTTGGTTTTTGAGTGTGTGAACAAAAAAAGAATGATCCAAAATAGCGACTGTGGCACTGAGCCATACAGGAAAATCTGAATATGTGCCAAATGTATTTGGTTATAGTAGGAAAACCGTTGCCTTCACTTGGTGCAATACAGATTTATTTACTTCAAATATGTATTTGACTTGGCCACAATGTAAAGACTAAGACTATATAAAGAAACTGCAGGCTACATTTGATTATAGTAAAATGTTTGCATAATTTCACCCTAGTGGATTTTTGCATGAAGCAACAATTAGACCACAAATTGTTGGAATGGATATTTTGGAATAGCTACACAACTTACTAATGTTATGATCAGCCCCAGTGTCCGCTGCAGTCACTCCAAACTCAAACCGTGGTCCTTTTCTTCACTGGGACGCCTGCATCCGTGGCAGCTGCCTCGGCTCTTCATCATCTCGTCATGTGTTGTAATGGAGCTCCTGTGTCTTTCTGTTCCGAAGCTTAATGTGTTGGTAGAGTTTTAGTCAGTAGATGACCACAGCTCTAGGACTCGTATCCGGTTCTGTCTTTGCAATACAACTGTCTTCCTGTAAAATGAGATTTAGTCAATAAAATGAGAATTGCTGTTGGAGTTAAATCGTTGGTCTCTGGTTATTTTCCCCAGGACTCGCATTCGATGAATAAGGACAAAGTAGGACAGTCCCATATCCCAGTAGTTAGAATACAATGAATTGAGTGGCATGTTGACATCAGAGACTTTTATAATTAATTGTGTATATTTTCTTTTGTATGTCTGTATTAATGTAAGAATTAAGTGAAAAAAACCGAATTGAATTAATCTTAAATTATTCAGCTGTGAATTGATGAATATTAAATAAATAACATTTTTAATTATAAAACATTTGTTAATTTTTAATTGGTGGTCACACTTCCACTCCAGAGCTAACTCCAGTCCTTTGGGACCTATACAGTGTTATTTAATTTTGTATAAAATAACTTATGAGTTATAGTTCTGAGATGCAATTAAATTATTTAATAATTAACTGTTTCATACATTCTTACGTTTAATACAATTCATTTTTACTTGCTTTCAAAAATGTTGTTAATTGGTTCATTTGGAGCACTATTATCAAAAAAATGCATTTAAGCAAATGTTTTATGAAATGTAACATTTTGAAACCAGTCATCCAAAGACAAAAATCTCTTATAAAACCACAACGTTAAACAAAATATTTATTTTGGACAATTACATGACCTCTGCTGCTCCAAGAGGTGAGCAAGATGGTACAAAAGATTCCAATAAAATAAAAAGCATGACAAAAGTGACACGAGTTGGCAGTCCTAGTCCCATGTTGAACTTAAAATCACCACAGCACAGACACACACATGGAGGAGGCGCTGGAATGTGATGAGTAGTGTGTACCAGGACATATGACCACATCCTGCTACATGTATTAATGCTCCAGTCAATGTGGGGTCAACACAACGAGCCCAGAAAAACTGAAAAGATTAAATTATTATTATATCTGAGATTCAGCCCTGAGATTAACACACACACACAAAATCATTTTGAAATCCAAACATTTTGTAAAACATATTCCAAAATCTGTATTTGGTACAATGCAAACAATTTAATGTAATTGAAAAAATATTCAAAAAAACCCCTATAAAACACACAAATCACAAGGATGGCACAAATAAAACAGACTTGTTCCAGGATGAGGAGATTGGGTGTGTCGTGCTTTAAAAAAGGAGCTCACTGGTCTTAGACAGCACACTGCTGCCTCCTATGGGCGCTATGCAGAAGTACATAGACAAACACCAACACTGATCACATGTAGACGTTTCTCTAAAAAAAGAAGAGGCAGGCTCGCAGCACCTGATAATACTCATCACAGTGCATGGGTTCAACATGTCCCAGAGTTCATTAGGAACCGCTTTACCGTGTTCTGGGATCACTAACATGAAGTCTGCAGAAGAAAAGTGCATGAACGCTGCCTTTAGTCCTCAACGTGTCCATAGAGAGGTGATTTACATCCGCTGATTTGTCATTGCACCACAAGCAAGTGAGAATAGGAGAAACTACTTCCTGTCCAGATAAGGCTTTGACCAAGTCAAAAATACATTGCAGAAGAGGATCAGGAACCTTTACACTAACACATGCATTCAGATTAAAATAAAGAATGATGTACACCAAGCATGTCAGCTAAGGAATATGCACAGAACCATCTTAACACAGATAAAGTTGTGGTCTTTTTATCCCAGAAGAATGTTGAGGTACACTATTTGAATGCTGTGCTGCAAAAATCCGAAAATGAAACTGATTCCTCCCCATGAGTGCAAAACCCCCAAAGTAAACAGCGGATGACTTTAACTGAAAGAAATCCAGCGACAAATCTAGGCCTGCTTTCATGTACGAAACTCTCAACAAATCATACGGAAGTTCCATTAACTGATGATTTACTAGCCGTTCAATAAACATAACACGGGCAGACTTACCTTCTCCCTGTCTGAAGGGGGAGGCCAAAGTGCTTTGAGCCAAATAAAAATCGCAAGGTCTCATCATGATGGCTGGAAGAACCTTTAAACCTCTAAGAGCCACACGAGGGAGCCTGAAGCAAATGACATATGACACAGTAAGGGGTGGGCCTCGTCTAAGGTAAGACTGCAGCCGTAGCAGAAGACCAGACATTGTCACTCCAAAGTGCTTTCCGCTAAATAAACCCTCCATGAGAATACATTCAAACACTAACTGTTCGGTCTGCTGGATAACTTCATCTGGGCCCAATGTTTAGTGCAAGTGTTGTTGGAAACGAAACCATGTGCTATGATCCAAAAAGCTCTCCCGTTAAATAATATGGAACCCTGTTGTTTTGAGAGCGCCCAATCAGGTACCATGTTCTGTAAGTGTCTCATCTCGATTGAGCAGCATCTCCCTTACCAATAACTTAAAAATCACACAATCATACCTCTTCGACCAGAGAAAAGTCCAGGAATAAATATAAACAAATATTAGCAGATACTTAAAAAGTCTTTAAAAAAATTATTATCTTTGATTGTATCCATATTTAGTCCAGGAACAGAACAAATCCATATAAATAGCTAAAGCTTGAGAACACAAATGACAAATTCTATGCAAGGGTGGGTTTCCTGTCTCCAGCCACAGTTTGGGGGTCAACAGTCAGGGGGTGGAGTTAAGGCTTACGGGTGCTAGCTGTCAGTCAGAAGATACCCTGGTCCACTGTTGCCGTGGTTACCAGCAGAACTGGAAGGAGAGGCCCTGCAGGATGTTGCGTGTGAATGTCTGCATGAATAAAAAGAAAGAAATATTTCAAAGTCAAGAATTGGCATGTTTTTCTTGTTCTGATGAAAATAATGCGGTGATAAGAGTGGTGCAGTGATGTGACATGCTTGTATTAGGCCGACCAGGAAGTTAGCATCACAAGGGCTTTAACCAAAAAATGCAATGGGATTTGGTTGATTTGATTATATTGCAGAAAATAATCTCTCTGGCAAACAAACCTTTATGATGCTCACATGTTTTGTTTGATAATCAGCACTTATTTGTGATTTTTAATCAGTAAATGCAATCTCTAGAAGTAATAAGTCTAACATTAGGCATCACAATCAGATAGTTGCACTGAAATTCATAAAAGCTTAGTTTGAACATAGTGTTGGAGTTGCCCCGTACAATTGAGTTAAAAGTATTGTTTGTAAAGACTACATCACTTCATGAAACCTAACATGCTGTAAAGGTTCATGCTATTTGGTGAGAGAGGGAAAGTGTTAAAATGCTCATTTTGGGACAATTATTTTACGGCAACATAGAAGTTCTCCAAGAAACGTAGGATGAGGTTTCAGATCAAAAGATTCATCACTTTGGTAATAGAATGCCCTGAATAGAAACCAATAGTACATTTCTCTTTATGTTATATATTTATGCTTATTAAATAACTTCAATATTGTACTACATACAGTTTGGGAACTTAAAAAAAACGTGTTAAATGTAATGCTGAATTATTTGAGGTCTCCGATCCTCTTTGACTCTTTGAGTAATGTTTCCTAAACGTGTTACTCCAGAAGACATGAAGCAGAGCAGAATGAAGCTCTACTCATCTCATTGTACCTGTATAATGTCAACAAAGGATTATATTCTATATCAACTTACCTCGTGATGTTCCTGCTCCCGCTGTCACCTGTCATCCCTTCGGCTCCCTGGAGGGGCTTTTACTCTTTTGTTCTGGGGTTGGAGGAGGAAAATATCAGGCTAATGATACAGTCAAACATATCTTTTAAATAGTGGATAGGTAGGTCTCATATAGCATACACATTGAGACACGTTATTGTAGTTATTTCTGCTCACCTTGTGCTTTTTACACTTCATGGAAAGGTTTTCTTCAATGAGTTCACCATCTGCCAACGAGAACATTACAGGAGTTAAAGATGCCACACTTCACCCACTCTTCCTCGTCCTGATCTGACAATGTCCCTGTCCTCCTCTGCTCAAACCAGGTGACCTTGTGAGGCAGCTGGATATGCAAGGTCAAAATATATTGAGAATTACGGGAATAGCTAGTGTGTTATTGCAGAATCTCTACCAGTAGAAACATTTGACTAGGTGTTGGGGAGATATTTCCAAGGCCCATAACTTTGACCCAGTGTATCAGTTCAAACTGTCCTGACTGAGCACACGCACCTGTAACCTTGGCTGCTGTGCTCTCAGGGCTCTGTCTCCCTGTTCCTGCCTGTTGGCGTCAGCTGATAGAGATCTTATGATTCTATCTTGTTATGCAGCATGTTGATTATTCTCTCTGAACTAGCTAAATACATGGGTCTGGGGTAGGGATCTTCAGAATTGACGTGGCAACTCTACCGTGAAGTCAGAACCTCTGGCTCTTGGACTTGTTTTGTGAATCCTCCGGCCGAAGCTCCAAATAAACCATCAGTGTTTGCCATCAAAGCTCCAGCTCACTCCGTGTCTCCTTCACGAGTCGGTGACTCCTCCTGCATTGCTACACAGAAGTTTCCCCGACACTAGGGATGCACCGATTGCACATTTCTTAGCCGAAACTGAAAATAACAATTTTGCCAATGCTGATGATTTCTGTTTATTTCATTGTCTTTTATTCCACTTTTGGTTAAGGGAAAAATTGAATGTATTGAATATTAGCCTTCTTTACAGATTTTTCGGTTAACAAAATCCTGCAGCATGTGAGAGTGATGCCGCTCCTCACAGGGGAGGGGAGACCCCGTCCGAAATCCTCTAAGTTACGGTAGAGTGCCCTGAGTCAGTGTTCTAGTCTTTCAAGATGACAGACTCCAGATTTGATCAGTTATTATTTATTTACATGTGGCTAATGAGACCTCTGCAGTAACAGTAATAAGTCAAATGGCCCAGCAAAACAGCTAAACGTTGGCTACTGCCACAGGCACACGTCAGCTTATTTGCAGATGAGAGATAATAGGGATAACATGTTTTGAGTGCAGCTGGAGGGCAGAGCAGCGCTCACCTGACTGCACAGCACAGCGGTAGTGGTATTTGTTGGGACAGCCTTTGAAGAAGCAGCCCAGAGTAGCACCGGGTTCACTGCACGCCGAACACATCTACAATACACAAGAGACAAGGTCAAA